TAAAAGATGGAGAGGTTACCATTGTTTGGGGATGACTAAAAAGAGGTGGCGTTACTGTCATCCTTTGAATGAAGAGTAGCTTTTTGACAGGTGAGGTGGATGGAATTCCAGGTGGAGGGAATATAATGAATAACTTACTATACAATGTTTGGAATGAATTTGAGAAATAATGCCCACTTCAGTAATTCTACGGGCAGTAAAGTAAGATAAGACTGGTGTACATATATGGTAGAAATTCTTTGTAATCATTTTGTTTTCTTAATTTTGCGCATGATGGGAAAGTTGTGAGCAATAAGAGACATGGTGATATGAGAATTACTTTAAAATTTTGAAAGAGGTTATTGGAGATTTTGTTTTTCCTGCCATTAATTAGAAAGGTGTTAGAGAAACAATCCACTTTGAGGACATTGAAGGCAAGATCCTATTGAAGATTAGCTGGTGTACTCAGAGGGCCTCACTTAAAAGGGAAAACCTTGGAGCTACTGGGTTAGTCTCCCTCAGAGAAGGAAGGTGAAGGCACCCTTGAAGCTTCTGAGAGGGCCTTCACATGCATAGCTCTAGATCTGGAAATGGGTGTCATTTGTACTTTTAGAGTGCCCGAATGCAGACGTAGTCAGGAAATTGACAAGGGAAGGAGGTCAAGGTTTTGGGTTTATAAGGTGGCAGTTGCTAAGTCCACATTGATCTCAGATCTCATGGCTGGGGACAAGAATATGACCTACGAGATAGGTGAGCATTAAGATCGTTCATAGAATGGGTAGATCATTTAGCTCTGTTAGCTCTTGGAGCTCACATTAGCATCTTTGGGCAGTGTCTGGAGCACGTCTTCAAAAGCAACCTGCTTAGTGAGCTGCTGTATCTGTTGTTAGTGCTCACTCCCTGCCCTCAGCTGAACATTTTCCTCTTCTCCGCACTTACCACTACAGGTTGCCCCAGCAATCAGGAAATTCTGTGAGGCTGAAATAGTATCACTGTCATCTAGTGTTTAGAATTGCCCGTTAAGCAGCCCTTCATTACTGCTGTGACTGTGTGGTGTTGTTATAACGGAGTCCTTTGAGAATCACCTTTGGCACTGCGTGTCTATGGTATTAGGGGAAATGTGTGCAAGTAGTAATAGTAGGCCACTTATTGTTCAAAAATACCAACCAAATGGGGATGGCTGCGTGTAATTTTTATTTTCTTCTGCTAGAGGAAGACCTCTGCTCTTAGTTCCTTCTACTCTAAGAGCATACATCAAATTGGCATGTATTTTCTGTTTAAAAGGAATTGTTGGATTAAGCAGCTAGAGGTTCATGAGTGGAGAACAGAAGAAAAAAGAGGGGTAGAGCTGGATTTGGATCATCCATATTAGGCTGCCACGTAAAAGCTGATAGGTTTGCAGGGCATGTGGATTACAGCGTAAGGGGGCCATGAGAGTTGTGCACTGCACAACCTGACCAAACTCATGCAGGGACTGTATGCCACAAGAGGGATGGTTCTGTTCAGGGACATTTACCGAGGGAGAGAGTACAGAGAAGGAATTTTGAGAAATGCTCAAATTTAGAGGGTAAAAGGAAAAAAGAAGTAAGCCAGCAAGGAAAAGAGGAAGGAGAAATCAGAGAAACACAACTGGTCCAGAAGAGTACAGTTGCGATTGTCCTGTCTGTTCCTCTACGTGATGTCCAGACCTTTCAAAGTGAAGGCAGTTTGTTGCCTTCTACTCAGGATGTAAAGTCAGTCTCTCACTGTATCTCTCTGTCCCTCTCTGTGTCTGTGTGTCTCTTTCACACACTTGTTCATTAGTATTTGTCACTCTCTCTGTCAGTTCAGATCAGTTTATCAGAGCTAAACTATCTTTGACAAATCATTGTTTACCCACGGAAGTGGTGGCTCCCACTTAAATTGATGGTAGGAAACTTCATTCCCATTCCCTGTCTGTATAAAAGATTGATCTTAAAGCCTGATCCTCCACTGAGGAATCACATCAAACCATTGAAATGTTATGAGGAGACTATTTTGTAGTCATTCCACAGCCATATCTACTTACGTTATCTCTGTAAAGGATGGTAGGTATTTAAAATGTTTATCCTTATTTTAAAGTTTAAAACTATCCTATCAGCAGCCAATCATCATAATTTGATGCACTGTGTTGAGGTCTTTGGTTCAGAAGTTGTATTTCAAAAACTCTGTCCTTAGGGACATTTTCTTTCCGAAGGAATGAAATAATTAGTTCCTAAGAAATGACACAGCCACATGTTGTCAAGATGATTAAGGGTGCTGCTGCCAAAGTCAGATGGGCCTGCACTCCTGTCCTCCTGCCTGACAGCAGACCCAACATGTTTGTTGCTTATCATTTTATAATCACCACTGAGAGAAGCTCAAGGAAGCTTCTTGAATCCCAGGAAAACCATAAAATAAGACTGCCTACCATCCTGGCCATGCCCCCGATATTAAACCATAGTTATTTAGTCCGCCCCTACCACTTGTCTTTTGCAGCAATGTACAATTACATAGGAATTCATGTTTTCTTAAAAAAAAAATCAGAAGAGTGTTTTCTGTGGTTTGGACCTATAATCAGTGGTGATGTATACTAATGTGGACCATCAACAGTGAAAGCCAAATTTGATCAGCATCTTCTGTTTTTAAGCTAAGCCCTAAGCAAATGGTGAACAGATTTGTCTTGTGTATCCTTGGCTCAACTTCGTCCACCTTGACTCATCTCTGTTATGGTGTGGGATAGTTATTTGGGGCTGCACATGACAACGTTTCCATCATTGCCTCTCTTCTGGTATCAGACTTCACCCTCATGGTGACTGGATGGTATGGGGGGGTATGACCAAGCATAGTGACCCCAATTCCTGGACAGCAGTGATTGTGATGGGAGCTTGACCCAAGTATGCAGGGTTGCCAGATAAAATGCAGGATTCCCACTTAAATGTGAATTTTAGATAAACAATGACTGGGAGCCTAGGTTATGCCTTTTTTTCACATCTGTAGAAATTTTGTCAGGTATTGAATGGGACGTATTCATACCAATATAGGCTTACACTCAAGTAATATTCATTGTTTATCTGAAGTTCAGTTTTAACTAGGTGTCCTGTATTTTTGTTGGCTAAATCTGGCAACCCTAAAAGTAGAATCAGAGCCCTCTCTCTTTTTTTTTTTTTTTTTTTTTTTTTAATGAATGCCAGGAGGGAGAATTTTTTTTATGTTTGGAGGTAGGGAAGAGGGTTAAAGACAAACCCATCTGATAGCCAGTTGCCCTGATGAATAAGAGGGAAGAGTCTTTTTAGAAAAGTAAGCCAAGTAGAGGGAAGCAATATTTGAGTGGCATAAGAGATAATGGCCTCTGAGTTCCAGCTTCCATCTCCTGGCCCTGGTTCTAAACTTTTCTTTTATGCTATGCACTATCCCCAGCATCCTTCCAGACATGTGAGCTAATGAATTACTTTTTCTTGCATGAGCAAGTGTGCGTTGGGTGCTGTCACTTTTAGCCTCTGTATTTTCCACACTCCTTTAAAGTATGTGGCACTCTCACACTACCCCCTTGCCTCCTCCGGCTTTTGCTAGAGAATATACATTCTGTGCTGCTCTCACGTTTGATGGTGGACAATAGATCCCTTGATACCTCAGCACCACAAAGGCCTTCACTGGTAGAGTCCTTCGTGAATAAGAGTGGAAGCTGGAATACGCTTTCTTTTACTTACTGCATGGAGAAACAGCGGTCTCTGTAAGGAAAGTAGTCTTTATTTAGAAAAACAGTGGAATCCAAATTTACCGAAGTATGAACACTGGAAGGCAAAAATATGCAGAGGTATAGGAAACATAAAACTAGGCACTTTGCTTCATGCATATATCAAGTAATGTTAAAAATCAAAGATGAACCAAAATTGTCAGTAGGGGTCCCCTAGTCAAGAAAGCAATCCTCTTAAAAGACGCCTTAAAGAAGGAGAGTAAACAAGTAAAGTTGAATGAGAAAACAAGCAAAATTTATACTTTCTTGTAGGTTTTGGCCCCTTTTGGATTAACTGTCAAGCTCAGTCTCCCATGAGTAAGTGGGTGTACATGGCAAGGGTCTAGCACATGGGATTTCCTACCCATCAATAGTTTCAACTTCTTGGAACATCAGTCATAAATACGTGAAAGCAGTGTTTTAATCTGGCCATAGGTTGCTCATAAAACTCACTTTAAAAATTTTACCATCCCCTCCTGGAGGAAGTAGGAGATACAGCAGGATGAATTAATAGGCTAGGCTAAGGCCAAATACCAAGAGTCCTGATGTTTCACAGAGTTACCTCATTAGGCAGGTTTAGAGTAGGTAACAAAGGTACAGATCAGTATCTGAGGCTCATAAGACTGGACAGGTTCGAGAAATCAACCCTTCTGGGCCAGAGACTTCCATAGTGTGAAATAAATAACCGCCCTTGACAGCTAATATAGAGACCAGAACTCACTACTCAGGGTCAGGACAAAGAGAATAAGAATAAGGTTGATCTCTATAGTTTACCGTGAGCAGAATCTAACATAAACCTTCTTTTGTTTACATTTTCTATCCACTTCGTTTTGTAAGAACATTGTAGTCAAGATGGAGGCAGTTAGAGGGGATGTGAGGTGAGGAAGAGGTGGAGAAGGAAACATGGAGGTAGGGGTAAACAATATTTGTTGGATACTTTCTAGGAGGGTTCAAGAACACTGGGAATAATAATACATAATATGCATTACTTTTTCTTTAAAAACAATTTTATAGACTTAAAAGTATTCTGTATCTAAAATCTTCCCAAGATTCTTAACAAAAATATATGAAGTAAGGTACATTTGATGAAATTGGTCCTCAAGAGATTGAGTGACATGTTAAAGTCACCTGAATAATAAAAAAAAAAGCACAGCCTGGACTCCAACCCAGAGTATCTTGAGTGTTTTTACAGGAGTCTTTTCACTGTTGTGCCTACTTAATTTTGATATCCCATTCACCTGGAGACATGTGATGTGACCTTATGTTTATTACCATATGTCTGGTCTTCTATTTAAAATAAAGAGTAGCAGAGAGATGGGAAAAGGGTGTATCCAGAATGCCAGTATTAAATTAGGCATCAGTAGAGGCAATTATACAAATGATTGGGAAAGACACTGGGACCTTAGAAATGGCATTTTAGATGTTACCAAACAAGACCACTTAAAGTGAGTTTTCAAAGAGTTGTAGAACCAAAGAAAACATTAGAAAGTCATGTAAATATAAACACTTTCAGTAATTGTTAAGATAAATGGGATTGTTCTTGGCAATGGCTATGAACTATATGTGACTGGAGAGAAAAATAAAACAACACACGAGGTTGTCAATAAATTTACAGATGCATCTCTTAATATGGAAGGTAGTTACAAACCAGGTGACTCTCCTTAATATCTATCATTTTAAGTTCTATAACCTATTGTACATTTACTTATATTCTCTGTTGCATATATGCCCAGACACAATTAATGGTTAAAATCTTGAAAATGTTAAGATTGTAACTCAAAAAAGTGATCACTCACAGTTGGGAAGCATACAATTTTGTCAACAAAACAGGAACAAATTTCTTAGAAATCAGTTTTAATTGGGATTTTTTAAAGGAACTCTGTAGGGTCGCATTGCCTTACATATGAGGAAAATACTACTCTAGCTTGTGGCTTTAATGCTATGTTTTTCTATGGACTGGTTGCCAATGATTCTTGCCTATGAGACATACATCGAAGTCTGTTGTTGGTACTTTTCTTCTTTCTTTCCTTTTTCTGCTTTGAAGCTAAAAAACAATGTTGTATTGGACTTAGGAGGGAAAGGCCAAGATAATTTTTTTTTTTTTTTTTTTCCGGTACGTGGGCCTCTCACTGTTGTGGCCTATCCTGTTGCGGAGCACAGGCTCCGGACATGCAGGCTTAGTGGCCATGGCTCACGGGCCTAGCCGCTTCGTGGCATGTGGGATCTTCCTGGACTGGGCCACGAACCCATGTCCCCTGAATCGGCAGGCAGACTCTCAACCACTGCACCACCAGGGAAGCCCCCAAGATAATTTTTAACTTAATTTTGACATTGCTGAGCTACTGAGTTAAGACAAGAAAATTCTTACTTTCAGATTTTGTATAATGTGATAAAACACCCTTTATTGTTTAAATTACTCCTAGTCAGATATTTTAATTACTTGCAGACAAAAGCACTCCAAACAACATCCTGAATTGCTATATATTTTCTTTTCTTTCTTTCAGCTTACTATTGGTCTGTTGTGGAAATTTTTTAGTCTTTTCAGCAGCTTAGCATTTGAATTCCCTTCCTATGTGAAATGAGTCTTAATGGGAGACAGAGCCAATTTTAAACTGTAGAAACTAAGATAGTTTCTCAGCCTCATTTGAAACTAGGGCTTAGGCAAATAAAGCTTTCTCAACTGGATGTACACACACCAGGTTTTGAATGTAGACCTAGTGACACCGAGAAATATGCAAAGTGGATAATTCCTTATAAAGGAAGTCGGTTTAGCAAAATTGTACTCCTGGCACATCAGTGACAGTAGTATTGAGGACATTCAGTATTCTAGTCCTTCCAGAGACAGAAGTTATGTCTTCATAAGCCCAGTTTTGCAGCCTAATTTGTGGTGGTGTTTCAAGATGTGCAGTTATAAGCGACACGGTCCAGATCTCCTGGTGACTCAGAGCGCTACCCAATAGCCTTTTAAATAAATTCTTTTCCTTCCCATTTAATCTGTCATGGTTAGTTTCTCTTGCTTGCAACTAAAAACACAGCCTGATACATTTTTTATCTCTTAGGCCAAAAGAATAGAGGTCAGAGGAGAGGCAGACCAGTCAGTAAAAACAACTCACATTTTTTCTGGAGTAATTGGTCACTTTTCACAAATGAAGTAGAACAGTAAATAAGCTGATGGGAGAAAAGAAGACGAATAAAAGAAGCTCACCCACATTTTTTGAATTAAAAAATCACGAAATTTATCGATTTAAGAGTCTGTACAAAAACTATTGGAAATGTTTCAGGCTAACTTTTTTTTTCTTTTTCGTTGAGTTTATTTTTGTGTATGGTGTTAGGGAGTGTTCTAATTTCATTCTTTTATATATAGCTGTCCAGTTTTCCCAGCACCACTTATTGAAGAGGCTGTCATTTCTCCACTGTATATTCTTGCTTCCTTTATCAAAGATAAGGTGATCATATGTGCATGGGTTTATCTCTGGGCTTTCCATCCTGTTCATTTGATCTATATTTCTGTTTTTGTGCCAGTACCATACTGTCTTGATTATTATAGCTTTGTAGTATAGTCTGAAGTCCAGGAGCCTGATTCCTCTAGTTCCATTTTTCTTTCTCAATAATGCTTTGGCTATTCAGGGTCTTTTATGTTTCCGTACAAATTATGAAATTTTTTGTGCTGGTTCTGTGAAAAATGACATTGGTAGTTTGATAGGGATTGCATTGAATCCGTAGATTGCTTTGGGAAGTATAGTTGTTTTCACAATGTTGATACTTCCAATCCAAGAACATGGTATATCTATCCATCTGTTTGTATCATCTTTAATTTCTTTCATCATTGCCTTATGATGATTTTTTTTTTGATTTCTGATGGATAAAGCATTTTTTAAAAATATCTTTATTGGAGTATAATTACTTTACAATGGTGTGTTAGTTTCTGCTTTATAACAAAGTGAATCAGTTATACATATGTCCCCATATATCTTCCCTCTTGCGTCTTGCTCCCTCCCACCCTCCCTATCCCACCTCTCTAGGTGGTCTCAAAGCACCAAGCCGCTCTCCCTGTGCTATGCGACTGCTTCCCACTAGCTATCTGTTTTACGTTTGGTAGTGTATATATGTCCATGTCACTCTCTCACTTTGTCCCAGCTTACCCTTCCCCCTCCCCGTATCCTCAAGTCCATTCTCTAATAGGTCTGTGTCTTTATTCCTATCTTGCCCCTAGGTTCTTCATGACAATTTTTTTTCTTTTTTAGATTCCATATATATGTGTTAGCATACAGTATTTGTTTTTCTCTTTCTGACTTACTTCACTCTGTATGACAGACTCTAGGTCCATCCACCTCATTACAAATAACTCAATTTCGTTCTTTTTATGGCTGAGTAATATTCCATTGTATATATGTGCCACATCTTCTTTATCCATTCATCTGTCGATGGACACTTAGGTTGCCTCCATGTCCTGGCTATTGTAAATAGAACTGCAGAGAACATTTTGGTACATGACTCTTTTTGAATTATGGAGTTTTCTCAGGGTATACGCCCAGTAGTGGAATTGCTGGGCTGAATGGTAGTTCTATTATTAGTTTTTTAAGGAACCTCCATACTGTTCTCCATAGTGGCTGTATCAATTTACATTCCCGACAACAGTGCAAGAGGGTTCCATTTTCTCCACACCTTCTCCAGCATTTATTGTTTGTAGATTTTTTTATGATGAACATTCTGACTGGTGTGAAATGATATCTCATTGTAGTTTTGATTTGAATTTCTCTAATGATTAATGATGTTGACCATTCTTTCATGTGTTTGCAAGCAATCTGTATATCTTCTTTGGAGAAATGTCTATTTAAGTCTGCCCATTTTTGGATTGGGTTGTTTTTTTTTTTTGTTATTGAGCTGCATGAGCTGCTTGTATATTTTGCAAATTAATCCTTTGTCTGTTGCTTCATATTTTCTCCCATTCTGAGGGTTGTCTTTTCGTCTTGTTTATAGTTTCCTTTGCTGTGCAAAAGCTTTTAAGTTTCATTAGGTCCCACTTTTATTTTTGTTTTTATTTCCATTTCTCTAGGAGGTGGGTCAAAAAGGATCTTGCTGTGATGTATGTCATGGAGTGTTCTGCCTATGTTTTCCCCTAAGAGTTTGATAGTGTCTGGCCTTACATTTAAGTCTTTAATCTATTTTGAGTTTATTTTTGTGTATGGTGTTAGGGAGTGTTCTAATTTCATTCTTTTACATGTAGCTGTCCAGCTTTCCCAGCACCACTTATTGAAGAGGCTGTCTTTTCTCCCCTGTATATTCTTGCCTCCTTTATCAAAGATAAGGTGACCATATGTGCATGGGTTTATCTCTGGGCTTTCTATCCTGTTCCATTCATCTATATTTCTGTTTTTGTGCCAGTACCATACTGTCTTGATTACTGTAGCTTTGCAGTATAGTCTGAAGTCAGGGCGCCTGATTCCTCCCTTCTGTTTTCTTTCTCAACATTGCTTTGGCTATTCAGGGTCTATTGTGTTTCCATACAAATTGTGAAATTTTTTGTTCTAGTTCTGTGAAAAATGCCAGTGGTAGCTTGATAGGGATTTCATTGAATCTGTAGACTGCTTTGGGAAGTATAGTCATTTTCACAATGTTGATTCTTCCAATCTAAGAACATGGTATATCTCCATCTATTTGTATCATCTTTAATTTCTTTCATCAGTGTCTTCTAATTTTCTGCATACAGGTCTTTTGTCTCCTTAGGTAGGTTTATTCCTAAATATTTTATTCTTATTGTTGCAGTGGTAAATGAGAGTGTTTTCTTAATTTCACTTTCAGATTTTTCATCATTAGTGTACAGGAATGCAAGTGATTTCTGTGCATTAATTTTGTATCCTGCTACTTTACCAAATTCACTGACTAGCTTTAGTAGTTTTCTGGTAGCATATTTAGGATTCTGTTTACAGTATCATGTCATCTTAAAACAGTGACAGCTTTACTTCTTCTTTTCCTATTTGGGTTCCTTATATTTCTTTTTCTTCTCTGATTGCTGTGGCTAAAAACTCCAAAACTATGTCGAATAATAGTGGTGAGAGTGGACAACCTTGTCTTGTTCCTGATCTTAATGGAAATGGTTTCGGGTTTTTACCATTGAGGACAATGTTGCCTGTGGATTTGTCATATATGGCTTTTACTATGTTGAGGAAAGTTCCCTCTATGCCTACTTTTTGGAGGGTTTTTATCATATATGGGTGTTGAATTTTGTCGAAAGCTTTCTCTGCATATATTGAGATGATCATATGGTTTTTCTCCTTCAGTTTGTTAATATGGTGTATCACATTGATTGATTTGCGTATATTGAAGAGTCCTTGCATTCCTGGAATGAACCCCACTTGATCATGGTGTATGATGATCCTTTTAATGTGCTGTTGGATTCTGTTTGCTAGTATTTTGTTGAGGATTTTTGCATCTATGTTCATCAGTGATTTTGGCCTGTAGTTTTCTTTCATTGTGACATCTTTGTCTGGTTTTGGTATCAGGGTGATGGTGGCCTTGTGGAATGAGTTTGGGAGTGTTTCTCCCTCTGCTGTATTTTGGAACAGTTTGAGAAGGTAGGTGTTAGCTCTTCTCTAAATGTTTGATAGAATTCCCCTGTGAGGCCATCTGGTCTGGGGCTATTGTTTGTTGGAAGATTTTTAATCACAGTTTCAATTTCATTACTTGTGATTAGTCTGTTTATATTTTCTCTTTCTTCCTGGTTCAGTCTCGGAAGTTTGTGCATTTCTAAGAATTTGTCCATTTCTTCCAGGTTGTCCATTTTATTGGCATAGAGTTGCTTGTAGTAATCTCTCATGATACTGCAGTGTCAGTTGTTACTTCTTTTTCATTTCTAATTCTATTGATTTGAGTCTTCTCCCTTTTTTTCTTGGTGAGTCTCGCTAATGGTTTATCAATTTTGTTTATCTACTCAAGAACCAGCTTTGAGCTTTATTGATCCTTGCTGTCGTTTCCTTCACTTCTTTTTCATTTATTTCTAATATGATATTTATTATTGCTTTTCTTCTGGTATCTTTGGCATTTTCTTGTTCTTCTTTCTGTAATGTCTTTAGGTGTCAGGTTAGGTTTTTTATTTGAGGTGTTTCTTCTTTCTTCAGGTAGGATTGTGCTGCTATAAACTTCCCTCTAAGAACTATTTTTGCTTTATCTCATAGGTTTTGGGTTGTCGTGTTTTCATTGTCATTTGTTTTTAGATATTTTTTGATTTCCTCTTTGATTTCTTCAGTGATTTGTTGGTTATTAAGTAGTGTATTGTTTAGCCTCCATGTGTTTGTATTTTTTACAGATTTTTTTCCTGTAATTGATATCTAGTCTTACAGCACTGCGGTCAGAAAAGGTACTTGATACGATTTCAATTTCCTTAAATTTAGGTAGGCTTGATTTGTTACCCAAGATATGATCTATCCTGGAGAATGTTCCATGAGCTCTTGAGAAGAATGTGTGTTCTGTTGTTTTTGGATGGAATGTCCTATAAATATTAATTAAATCCATCTTGTTTAACGTATCATTTAAAGCTTGTGTTTCCTTATTTATTTTCATTTTGGATGATCTGTCCATTGGTGAAAGTTGGATGTTAAAGTCCCCTTGTATGATTGTGTTACTGTCGATTTCTTCTTTTATGGCTGTTAGTATTTGCCTTATATATTGAGGTGCTCCTGTGTTGGGTGCATAAATATTTAAAATTCTTATGTCTTCTTCTTGGGTTGATCCCTTGATCATTACGTAGTGTCCTTCTTTTTCTCTTGTAATAGTCTGTGTTTTAAAGTCTATTGTGTCAGATATGAGAATTGCTACTCCAGCTTTCTTTTGATTTCCATTTGCATGGAATATCTTTTTCTGTCCCCTCACTTTCAATCTGTATGTATCCCTAGGTCTGAAGTGGGTCTCTTGTAGACAGCATATATACATGTCTTGTTTTTGTATCCATTCAGCCAGTCTGTGTCTTTTGGTTCGAGCATTTAATCCATTTACATTTAAGGTAGTTATCGATATGTATATTCCTATTACCATTTTCTTAATTGACCTGTGTGTGTTATTGTAGGTCTTTTCCTTCTCTTGTGTTTCCTACCTAGA